ACCCAGGCCTGCAACCTAGATCTGACTATGGGCAGTGCAACAGAGTCTTGCCCCCTACCCCCGTGGCAACAAAGGGACCCCTGTAATTTCCTTCTGACCAGTTGTCTGACTCCCTTACCTTCTGTGGGCTGAGAGCTTCAGAACCTACCCCAGCTTATTTAATCACACCCAATGCCTGCTACTGGTTTGCTAGGGGCTGGCCTGTATTCAACTTTACCCCTGTGTGACAGACCTTTCCTGCTGACCTTCTAAGTTGTCTTTGACTGAAAAATTATTTTACCGTATCCTTTTGTTGCTCTAGAAGTTGTTTTGAGGCAATATTTGAAGTTGTTTGGAAGGGAATTTGGGAGATCTTAGGCAAGTCTCTGCCTTTTCTCCATCATCTTGGCTCTGCCCCCTACACCAAATTTTCTAATTTATAGCAACCTTATCTCTTTTATATATTCTGTGACAATTATGTTGTCTTTGATAGGAATTTTTCAGAACTTTTCTGGGAATTTTTCCTTTTGAATTTGGCTTTGTTTTTCATGTGTATTAGTTCTTTACAAATGGCTTATTAATGACATGTTTAATTAAGCATAAAGCCAAAGTTAAAAAAAAAAGCAATTATCCCGTTCAGAGAGTTCTTGCTTCTTGAAAGTTCAATGAAACTAGCCACTTGATGTCTAAACTCATCACTCAATGGGAAGGTGGGGATTAATGAGAAAAATAGGGAGAAATGCTATTTGCAGAAAATTTTATCTTGTGCATAAGATTCCCACCACCACCATGCCCATATATCCATTGCCCCAGAAAGCAGAGCTGTTTTTCAGCATTATAGGACTCTGTAGCTATTTAACAATATTACACAACATGTTTGTATTTTGGCATTTTCCCATAAATACTATTAAGGAAGGGCCTGAAATATTTGACAGTTGACAATTCTTTCTGTTTACTTCTCACTTAAATGCAGCTTGAAATCTCCCTGATATGATCGCTGTTACACTAAATATATAATACCATGTTATTTTATATTTTCATATGACCTGTAGTTTAAAGAATTGGGATCAAGAGTTTGGAGAGATATGTTTGTTTATAAATTAGAAGGAATAGCCTTCAATGTCTTTATTGTTTCATTAGAATTAGCCCATAAAGAGAAAAAAGAACTTTTTTAAATGGAGCATTTGTTTTAATTATATATTAGGAGAAATAATTCATTGTGTTTTATTTTTGCTTCCAGGTTTTTCCCCCCTTTTTTAACTTTTCTTTTTTTCTTAAATATGTATGCATGCACATGCTTTCATCTTATCCTGAGTGGAATACCTTATTTAATGCATTTGGACTTGTGTTATTGTGAATTTTGCTGCCAATTTGAATGCAAATATATTGACCTCTTTAATAGGAGATGCGTGCTTTTGTCAAATATGTTGAGAGTATTGTTTGCCAACTATGTCTGTTGTCTTTTTTCTTTTTCTTTTCCAATCATGTCTGTTTTCTCTCACAATATTTACACTTTGAAACTGTTACTACCTAACATTTTGTTTACATAGGGTTCTCTCTTTTTCTGTCTCTGTCTTTCTCTCCACCCACCCCTCTCTTTCTCCTCTACTCCCCATGCTGGAACTATGGGAGTCCCTCATGCACCTGATCCCACTCCTGATCAGCACAGGAGATTTGACTTCCTCTGTTTCTGACCTAGACTGATTCATCCCTTCTTAGGAACCGTAGTGGCCTCCAGGGGCACAACATATTGGAGCTGCAGTTAGTGCAGACATACAATTGGCTTATCATCCTGCAGCTCAGAACTCCTGAACTCAGTTAATCCACCAGCTTCAGCCTTCTCAGTAACACAGATTATAGGCATATGCCACCATGTCCAGCCCTACATAACTTTTAAAAAATCAGGCTTTATTGGCATCTTTTGTTTTTACATGATCTTCATTTCCCAGTATATGTTCCCCCTCTCTTAAATAGGTCTATCCCTGTTAAAAATGAAGAGAACAATAAGACAGTTCAGTAACCTGTCAGTCAAGTCCAACAGCATAAGATCCTTGAAAGTAAGAATTGTTTCAATTGTATTTTTATTTCTAGCATGGAATAGATGAGATGCTTAATAAATACTGGTTTAATATTTTCCCTACTTGTATATTGGATCTTCGCCTCCTATCTTTTATCTCTTTGGGGCCAGCTCTAGCTTCAGCAAGTCCATTGATTCAGGGTCAATGTTAAAATGCAGTGAGGAATTCATGGACCATAAAATGCAATAAAAACAGGGGAGGACTGGTGACAAAGGAAAACAAGATTTAAAGATACTAATTTAAATAAAACAGCTACCCTTTTGCCTCAGCATTCACTTCACCAGCCTCTAGGTTTGAAAGGCATTCCTATAGGGCAGTGGGAATTTTGCTTAAAACCTATGCCAACTCTCCAAGGGGGTGCCTTTTACACTTGAGGCCAACAAGACCAAGCCTCCAAGCTCTCTTAAAGAAATAGCTCAGCCTCATAAAACATGTGCTACTCTTCCCATTTTAGTCATTTTCCAAACCTGATTCCAAATTGCTTTCCATACTAGCTGAACCAATTCACAATTCCACAAACAACTACTTAACTTTTAAGTTTTGGAATTTTTAAATGCTAGTGACTTTTTAGTTAGGAGCACCACCATATCATATTACATTAAAGAAGAAAATCAGAGAGAAATATAAAATGTTTGAATTCAAAAGAAGACTCCAGAGTTTCAAAAATCATATTTCACTTTGTTCTGTAATATATTTTCAAAGACTATTTCTCTTGTTCTAAATTACTTTCTTTTTTATTCTTTTTTTTTCTAGGTAGAAATGTAAAGCTATCCCGTGTAATAGATTATACTTCATTTTATGCAGCATACATGTTCCTGAAAAACTCAGGCTGTACCTGAGCAGCCGGGTGCATTTTACTTAAGGAAAACTCCCAAAGGATTCTTTGCAGTGTGAATAATTGCTTCCCAGTTTTTCTGTTTAGTGTTGGATTTTTGGTCTCTTGTATCAAACTGGCATATCATTTCTTGGCATACTTTGAAATCTGCTTTCTCCAGATCTAAAGCACATATCCAAGACTACCCAGCTCACGCTCTCTCTCTTTTTATTGTCATGAATTCCAAGATGAAATGGTCATTTGCCCCAAAATTTCTGTTATTCCTTCCATAGCAATTTTTAATCCTTGATGAAAATCAGATCCAAAATAGAAACTCTTGTTCATTCTTCCATAAATTTCGAGTGGCAAATTGTCATATTATTGTTGGCAACAATATACTCTGAACATATTTCTGACCTGAAGTTAATTAATATGTATTCATTCCTACTGAACATCAGGTCACTGCCAAAGCTTCTATTAAGGATTCTCTTTAGTGCTGTGTCAACTGAGCAATTCTTAAAACTATTACAGAGGAACAATCATTTTGGCAGTTTTTGGTCTTACTGCTATTTTTGAGTTGCTTTTGAAATTATGACCTACTTTCAAAGCATGCTAAATATATGATCTTTACCCAGTCACTCCTTGGCAATATTGTACCTTACTATGCATCTCTTGTCAAAATAAGCAGGAAAAAATCGAGTGTGGAAGAGGAAGATTTTCTCTAAGCATGTGTTACTGAGTGAAGAAGAATAGAAAAGGTGCTGTGTTAGGTTGGTGATCCTAGGGAAAACACTACATCTGTTTTAAAATTCACGGCTTTGCATGTGACTTACAGTCTTTATTTTATTTCTTTTCCAGCCACTCAGTACTTTCAATTCAGGATCTTTTGTTGTGTCCAAATAATTTGTAGATAGTATTCTTATTTTTAAAACTTTAATAGATTTTTTTCTTTTTTGATTTGATGTGTAGTTGAAATTAGTGATTTATATCAACTAGTGTCTTATTGTTTGTTTAAAAATTCTTAAATAAATAGAAATCTTTGAACTTGTTTTGTGAGACTAATTCTTTAATTAACATAATTGTTCTTTTTTAATGTTTCATTTGTCTTCTTGTTAGCCTTCTGTTACGAAATTATATAGAATGTGTGCTGTTAACATTCTTGGTAGTGAGACATTTCTCATTTATTTTGTTCCTATACTTTTTTCCTTTTAACTGTTGGCTTTTGATTTTTCTTTTTGTTTTTCTTTTTAATTTTCATTTAATTTTTTATTTTTAACATTCATTTAAAATTTTTTTGGGTTCCAAATTCTCTCCCTCCCTCCTGCTCCTACCCCACCCATTGAGAAGGCAAGCAACATGATAGCAATTATACAGGGGAAGTCATGTAAAATATATTTCTATATTAGCCATGTTGGAGGGGGAAGCAAAAAAAAAAGGAAGAAAAATAAAGAAAGTGAAAAAAATATGCTTCAGTCTTCACTCTGCTGGGTTTATAAAACCTTCAAATCATTCAACCTTCCAGCTTAGTTGGAGTTCCTGCTGTATTATCCCTAACACAGAATCATAAAATTTTAGCATTAGACGAGCTCTTAGTATTTAAAGCAATGTTTTTTATGTAGAAGTAAATCTTCTTGGTATAGTCTGTGAAGTTTCCCATTAGTTTCTCATTTTTGCAGACTTTTCCTTCTGCTTTGTCTGTTTAGCACATTTTTTTTCTTGTAAGAAAGGCCTTTAAAAATACACATCATCCTTAAGTGAATCTTGAAAAAAGCATACATTTTAGGTCTAGTTTCTAATTCAATTGTTTGGTTAATTTTTAAAAATTTTTTTGATAAAAGGCTTCTCTTGATGAGTCATCCTTCATTTTGTTTCTTTGGGCATTTTATGCAATCTGCCATGAGAATGGGTACTTGTGACATTATTGTCAATGGAGTTCATGTTATGCCTATTTTCTTGATACCACCTGAAGATGAAATAGTAACTATAGTAAGAAATAATGAAAAACAAAAATTCAGTGGGAGATTATAATTAAATATTTTCCCTTATATTAGTTTATGCATGGTGTTTGTGTGAGGGGTAGGTGAAATACATTGCCAAACTGAAAAGTATCACTTTTCCTTTCTTTTTAGAGTTGCTGAAGTTGGGGAGCTAGAGGAAGAATCTCAAGTTCAAGAAATGACCTTAGATGAATGGAAAAACCTCCAAGAGCAAAATCGACCAAAGCCTGAATTCAACATCCGAAAGCCTGAATCCACTGTTCCTTCCAAAGCAGTGGTGATTCACAAGTCAAAATATAGAGATGATGTAAGCATTGCCTTTTAACTTTTAGAGACAATTCTAATTTTTTCCATGTTAGGAGAAAGTGCCTCCTTTTTTCTGACAATTTAGCACTAACAGCATTTCAGCTCCTTTAAAAAATCATTTACAAATTCTTTAAAAAAAATTTTTATTGCTATCTGTTGAAGTCAGGACCTAGTTTCAAATTCCACCTTTGATATTTATAAACTGTGTAAATATTGGGCCAGTCACTTAATTTTTTGACCTCTAAAATAAGGAGGCTAGACTATATACTTGCTGAGGTTCCTTCCTGCTCTAAATTTATTATCCTATACTTCTTCCCCTTCCTTGACACAAAAGATATCCCTTGTGTGACAAAGAATAAAAGAGAGGGGGAAAAAAATCAATTCATCAAAACTAATTAACCAAGTCTGACAATATATACCAGTCTGGAAAGATGTACATTTTCTTGAGTCTTCTCATGGATTAAACTTGATGAATATAATTAAGAAATCAAATTCTTACAAACAGATAATCAGAAATGATAGAAACATAGTGAATGACTCATATCTTCATTATTCTTTAAAATAACAAATCATTTAAAATACAAAGCAGTATTTTCCACTGAAATTTTGAGTTGTATAGCTTCATAAGCATAAGCACTTATATTTTAGAAATGTGTTAGGATGTCATAAAGCAAGTTTATTTAATTGCCTTTTTTAAAAATAAATGCTCTATGCTAAATGAATTTTATTTGAATCATCCATAACTAAAAATATGAACTAGACGCCAGAACTTTATATACTATTTACTAAAATACTAAAATTATAGTAGAACATGTAGTTCAATATCTCCATTTTATAAAGCAAAATATATTTATTCTTTAATTATGTGTTTATATTACCCTTAGATTTGTGTTATTTTTTAAAACAATATTAATATTAGTACAGAATTCTAAGTTTAGTGACACATTAAGGCAAAGGAAATGGTATAGGGTATTTAAACTCACTCTAGAGTTAGCATCTCTCTTTAATAGCTTTGGGTTCTGTTTTGTATGGATTTCTTAAAGCCTCGATAACAGTATTCATACAGTAGTATATTATACTTATTTGTATAGATCTTATTTGCATAAAGATCTAGACACTGTCTAGAATCAAACAAAATCACATTAATAAGTAGGATTTTTTTACCCTTTTTTGTTAATTTATTTTGATTTATCAACAATCACTTCCATAAGCTTTTGAGTTTTAAATTTTTTCCTCCCCTTCTCAACTCACCTTTCTCCCCAAGACAGCCTACATTCTGATATAGGCTATACATTAACATTCCTATTAAACATGTTTTCACGTTAGTCAAGTTGTAAGGAAGAATTAGAACTAATAGAAGGAACCACAAGAAAGAGGAAACAAAGCAAAAGAGAAGGAAAAAAAAGAGCAAATAGTATGCTTTGATCAGTATTTAAACTCTATAGTTCTTTCTTTGGATGTAGATAGCAATTTTCCATCATGGAAATTTTTGGAGATGTCTTAGATCCTTGCATTGCTAAGAAGGGCTAAGTCTCTCAAAGTTAGTCATCACACAGCATGGCTGTTACTGTGTACAACGTTCTCCTGGTTCTGCTCACTTCACTCAGCATCAGTCCATACAAATCTTTAGGATTTACTCATCTTAAGGAAATGATTGTGTTTTGCCGCCTTATGTTTCCTATTGGGGTATTCTACACATAGCCTACTGCTGATTTAAATCTTGGACCATTATGCTTGACTGCTTAGAAGAACTGTTAGGAGTGTTATACCACCTGAGAATAATAATAATAAGTTGCCAATTTGTTTCTTTGCAATAATTTTAATAACCATATTGTTATATGAAAGACAATATGGCAAAACACTCCAAATTATAAGAACAGAATTATTCCATCAAATTCCTTTCCTTGATACATTTCAGTGAACATGCTAACATAACTTATTTTTGTGCTTATCCTCTGAGGATATGCATTATAATTCTTTGTATTAAGATTTCTCTTCTTGAGGCAATTCAAATGGAAGCTTTTGTATGGGTGATGAAAAATTACATGAACAATCAGTCAGTAAGCATTTTTTTAAAACACCTGTAGTGTGCTGATGATGGAAGTACAAGGACAGTAGCAAAATTTGAAACTGTCTTCAAGAAACAGAAATTTTCTATTGGGTGAAGACTGCAGGAATACACATAGATATATACAGAACAGATACAAGGTACTTGTAGCTGAGGGCACCAGGAAAGACTTCGTGTGTGAGGGAGTGCTTAAGCTGAGTCTGGAAGGAAAACCAAGGATTCTCAGAGGAAGAAGAAATGGAGGAGGAGGAATACTTTCTATATCCCAGGGGCACAGAGAAAAATGTGAGGAATAGCCAGAATAGTCTTGCTTGACCAGAGTATGTGGAAGGAAGTGAGATGTAATAAAACTGGAGACAGGTTGGAGCCAGATTATGAAAAACTCCAAATGCCAAAAAGGTGTTATCTTTGATCCTCGAGGTAATAAGGAACTGCTGGAGTTTACTGAGTATAGAAGTGGCAATGGTCAGATCCGTGTTTTAGGAAAATTGCTTTCGAGGTAGGGCCACTAGGTGGTACAGTTGATAAAAAGCACCAGGTCTGGAGTCAGGAAGATGAGTTCAGATCTTGCCTCAGACACTTACTAGCTGTCTGACCCCTGGAACCCTGTTTTCCTCAGTTTCCTCATTTATAAAATGAGCTGGAGAAGGAAATGGCAAACCACTCTGGTATCTGTGCCAAGAAAGTGACTGAACAACAACTACTTTCCAGCTGGGTAGTGGATGGAGAGGCAGTGAGACTAGTTAGGAGGTTTTCGTAATAGTATAAGTGAGAGATGATAAAGGTCAATTTTGGGGCAAAGACAGCCTGGTCTTTCTTTATAAGCTATATTGTGAGGAAAAGAGTCAAGGTGGGGGGGTGCTGCTTGGCATGGATGGGACAATAGTAATGAACAATGAACATCCTGTGTGTACACAAACCCGTGAATATATGTGCTTACATAGGATGAAGATGTTTGTAATGGAAAAAATGGAATAAAAATGACTAATTTGAGAAATAAGCTGGTGATATTAAAAAATAACCCCTTCAAGTTCTTTTCTATTCACTGCAACTCTTGAGAATATCATAAAATGTTATTCACTATTATGTATTTATTAAATAAATGTTCTTAAATATACTCATAGCATAACATATATTAGATATATAGCATATACTTAAAACAACCTTTATGAACAAATGAGAAATAACTTCAAAAATCATCTCTTAAGATCTGAGTTGAAATATTTAGACAATCAAAATGTCCTTGGAGATTTAAACACTTATCTTTGCTGATGCTGATATTCCCTGATTTTAGAATGACAGGCTTGGGGAAAACAGGATTCACCGTAAGCATTATATTCTGATTCAGTCCTTAATTAAAATAGTGCTAGAAATAGATTCAAGAAGGTATAATTGTGCAAACTGTACAGATACATTTATTTGAAAATCTAATAAAAATGTAATTTTTGGTTTGCTTAGTGATAGAATTAGATCAATTCAAAGTGTAAACTTTTTAGCTTTTGATACTATTAGATGAAATGTAGGGTCTACACACACGCACACACACGCACAGCATGTCTGAATGGTTTACCATAGTTTAGATGCTAGAACCATACAATGGCAGACCTGGAAGGGACCTTGGAGATTTGTGTACAATAAAATAACTGCCTTTCAGATGATAAAGGATGACTATGAGGATGACACCCATGTTTTCAGAAAAGCAGCCAATGACATCACATCCCAGTTGGAGATTAATTTTGGTAATCTGCCTCGTCCTGGGCGAGGAAGCAGAGGTAGTACGCGAGGTCGAGGAAGAATCAGGAGGATGGAAGAATCTGGACCCAAACCAGAAGTTGTGGTAGGTATTTTGTTTATTTAATAAGTACTGAACTATTTTGTAAAGCTAGTGAAAAGATAGGGATGATCAGTATTTTGTTTTTTTGTATACCACTACTTAAATTCACGATGAATCCATCCTTTAATATCTCTGAGCTGTCCTACACTTTATACTTTTTCTTTCATAATTGCCTGATGTTTCAATGTATAAAAAGAAGGTACCTTGATTGCTGAGAGGTGTGGAAAATAACCTTCTGTATTTTCACATGCCCAACAATGGTCTCTCAGGCATAGTCATAGGAATTTCTTGAATTTCCAGATTTCCAGAATTCTTGAAGAGCAAGCAAAACTCCTGCTTTTCACATACTGAACAAAAACCTCAAGTTGGATAGCAGTCATGTTAGCTAGGATATCCTTACTGATACAGAAAAGGTTAATGGGTCCTATGGTTAATAGTTCCCATTATGTTACAGTGCCACCTTGTGGGTAGCTTATGATACAATTTATGAACTTTATTTTTTGACCATGTTAATTAATATGTTAGTTCTAGCATTATAAAATATATAAACAATCTTTTGGCAATATTGAATAAAAGAAGGCAGGTATTAAAGGTAATCATATAGTCCTAATTAGAAATCAAGATGGTGGCCAAATGAGAAAAGAAATCTGGAGGGAAAGGAGAAATGCTTTCTTTGACATGACATTCAGTACTAATATATATGCTATGTACATTCAGTTAAAGTACTTTTTACCCAAAAGTAGATCATCTTATTTCTTTGGTGCCTGTTATGAATAAATGTTACTAACTTCTCACGTGTCTTCCAGGATGGCTATGGCAGAAACTTGGAGTTCAGGAAAGAATACTACTTGTTTTAGAGATTCCATTCTTTTATGAGCATCCCTTGGTTAAATTAATGCTCTTCAATATGCTAATTTTAAGATATTTCTTTTTCTTTTATAGACACAAATCATCGCTCCAAACCCAGATGACCCTGAAGACTTTCCTGCTTTAGCTTGAAAGAGCCCTCATTCAACAGCATCATAAAGTAGCTTTGGCACAGCTATGGGGGAAAAAAAAGACTTTCCTTCTATGGGGAAGAGGGATAGTCTCAATTTATGAAAACAATAGAAGTTGCTTTTTCCCCCTTGTAGTGTGAACTTGTTGCACTTTTTGGTTTGGGAGTTTGAGGTAGGTGCAATTCCAGAGGTTCCTTAGAGCAAGAGGTTCTAGATTCATTAAGAACTTTCTGCAAGGTGAGGGATGATGATCATTGTTATACTCAAGGGATTTCAAATAAAGTTCAAGAATGACGTTCGAGATGTGTATATAGAGAATGTATTGAAATTTTTCACAAAGCTAAAGAGTAATATAAGCTATAAATTATAGTCCATTGTTCAGGCTACATCAAGCCCTGTAGACACTGGAGGTTGTTTTGCTTCATTATTAAATTATATATAACTTGGACAAATTTAAGCAGTAACAGTTATTTTCAGAGACCAAAAAATTAAAATACAATTGAATTAATGGTTTTTCTTATGTGTGTATAAATGTTATGTATCTCCTGAATGTTTTTGTTTTCTTTCATTTGCAAGGTAACTTTCAACTCTATGCCCTAAAAGAGACTTTAAATTTTTTATTATGCAAATATTGGTCACTACCTCATGACATGCCATATTTTTAAGGGGGTCAGAGATTATTGGGCAGGCAGGAGGGAAAAGACCAAAGCCAGGTAGGCAGTAGCTTTTTAACAGTGCCTTGATCTTTGTGGTGTTTTCAATGTTAGGTCTTACTAAGAAAATAAGAAAATTTACTTAGTGCACAGATAAAAATGTTTGCATAGTCTCTAGTTTGATGAATTATATATCATCTGATATAGCCCATCAAGCCTGCAAAAAAGGGGAGAAAGGAAAAGGAGATGATAAAGGGGAAAATAGGTTGGTTGGTGGCAGTGACAAAATTTATCATAGCCTTTGCTCCCTCTGTGTATAGTTTTATTTCTGCCTCATAGAGTCCAAGATCAAAAAAGCCACTTCAAGTTGCTGCTACAGAAGATGGGAGAAACGTTCTTATCTGCTGCTGTCTCCCTGCTTCCTTCATCTTGCTCCCTTTCATAAAATTCAGCCAGATTCATTGGTGTCATCGTCAAAACAAGGAAGAATGTGAAACTACTTCACCCCACTCTATTCTTCAACATTATATAGGTTAAAAGAGAGTAGCAAACTTCTGTTTAATAAACAAAAAAGCTGTGTGGAACCATATAAAAATTTAGTTCCAAATGTTTTTAAATTACATCTAGCTCACCTATTTTTAGTCCCTTGGTATTAAATTCATATTTGAGCACTAGAGATATGTTAACAGATTTGGTATCATTTCTTCCCTTTGGTAAACACAATAAAACAAGACTGCTAAGCTGAAGTAAAAAGAAATTAGTAAGAATGAATGTCAGGTTCAATACTATCCGTTAGTATCTTGTGGGAATAGTATTTACATTTGTTAAGTTGTCATGTTAACTTATTTCTCCTTGCTGTGTCTCAGAAGAAATTGGCAAAGTAGAAATAGTCTATAAAAAACATATAATAATAATAATAAACATAATAGTATATAAAAAACATCCCTCTGGATGTAGGTTACACATGGTGATTGACTTGACCTCACATTTAGCCAAAATGCCTTGTGCTTTTCAAACCTTAAAATGCTGCACCATGTTGCTTTGTCTCAGATGGCATACTTTGCCCATACCTTAGAACAAATGTAATTCGGGGGAGCATGGTTTTCAAAGGGCCTGTTGTCTCATCTGAGCCTCTTCGTGTACTTTGTTAACTAAGGCTGACCCACTGGGTGTGTAGACAAGAATTGTACTGTATGGTGGTATGATTTTGTTTTAATTTTCTAGTGTACTATGAGGAACTGTCTGGTTCCTAGAGAAAACCAGAAAGCAGGGAAATTTTTATTCAGTACTTTATTGTAGCAGTAGAAGATGAGACTGTGGGGAGGAATAAGAATTTAGCTGTATATATTTGTCATAATTTTTTTTAGCCTCTACGTGGGTTTGAAAGCAGATCTGTCACTTGCCAACCTATTTCTAGGGCAGGTGGTGCATGTTTTGTTTTTTTTTTAACAACACAAAAAAGGAGGCAGTTTCCTAGAAGGCATATCACTGGATGCTGTCAGGTCTTCCTATTTCCTAAAATAGTTTGTTCAATAAGATCAAAGTGATCTGGAAGCCCTTCAGGCATTTTAAATTTGTAGCAAAAGAATTCAAAAGTACACTTAAAGGGGGAGGATGGGTTGGATTAAAACAAGAATGAAAAAACTGCAATCTAGATCAAGGTGTTTTACCTGGGGCCCTGAATTTTTTTTTTGTCTTTTAACAACTGTTTTCAATGTAATTGGTTTCCTTTGTACTCACATATATTTTATCATTTACAAACGTTATTCTAAGGAGGAGTCTGCCACACACTAAACTTAAGAGTCCCAAATCTGGATAGTGTCTGACACATAAGTAGTCGTTTAATGAATGCTTGTTGACTGACAAAAATCTAGTTGCTCTAAGCCTACAAAATATGTGAGTTATAGAACTTCTGGTTACCTAAGGGTAGGCCAATTCTGTTGTCTGTATGAAAATGGTTCACAAGTTGATTTCCAAGGAAATAACTACTGCTGGAGTTGGGTTAGATATGTCTTAATTTTTTGGAAACTGGTGTTGTGGTTTGATTTGGTAGGAAAAAAAGTCACCAGTAACAGGTGAGAAGTGATCACAATTTTTGTTCAAATATCATTCTATTTTGTTGTGAATAGGTTTCATAACTCTATCATTTGGATAAAATTTCAGGTACAATGGTTTTAAATGCCAGTTGAACTGATCCTGAATTGTATCACATGGCTAATGTTAAATAGTGATTTTATTGATAAATCTGTGGTGGTAACACTGTACTACTTACGATCCCATATAGATGAATGCTACAGCAGCAGCATTTTGTACATATTTCTCTGCCCTGTTTTGAACTCAATAAATGTTTCCTGTATGTGTTCCTGTGAATAAATGTAAACATTAAGTGATTTTCCCCCTTTGAAACAAGTCATGTTAGTCAAAACCTTATGAACTAGAAATCTAATATTATTAACAATGAGAACAGTTGCATTCTTTGATCATTACTTTTAAAAATGGCATCTCCCAAAAGTTGGTATACAGTCTTTCAGATTTGAAAGTTTCCAGGTTTCATTTGACAAGTGCTGCCTTCTGTTTCCTTTCAGCATTATGAGGAATACTTTCTGAGGTCAATTCGAGTGGTGTCCAGCTGTTTTCTCCTCCTTACATCCTTAGAGACACTATCTTTTTTTTTTCCATGCTACAATGTAGTACCCAAAGCCAGTTTGGCTTTTAGATAGCATTTCTATCCACCCTACTCTTCCATTTCTGTGGGGACTGCTTGAAACTTGTCATTCTTGGTTTTTGTTGTTGTTGTTTTTATTTTTGGCTAGGGTTAAGTGACTTGCCCAGGGTCACACAGCTAGTAAGTGTTATGTGTCTGAGGTCGCATTTGAACTCAAGTCTTCCTGAATCCAGGGCCGGTATTCTATCCACTGTACCACCTAGCTGTCCCCCCTCCCCCAAAAGTTGTCATTCTTGAGAATGACAGCAGGGAAATCTTTTATTCTCCCTGCTCCTCGCCCCCCAGTAATCAACCATATGATCAGATATCCTTGTATATGAGCTTTTTTTTTTTAATAATCACACTTGCCAGTTATTCCAAGTCTTCCATACCTGATGGAAACTCAGGCATAAGATGGTAATGGCAGACATGTGGTAGGGTCTTACCAAAATCCTAGTCTTCTCTCTTCTTTCCCTGCTAAAAATCACAAGCAGCCTGCCTTTTATGATTATGTGCTGCCATAGTGAATGGCAAATAAGTGCTTAATGTATGCTTGTTCATTGATTAACATGCCCAGGGTTGGAGAATCAGTTTTAATTGTTACAATACATATCCAATGTAGATTTCTGCTAAGTGCCGTTATTTGGCATCTGATGGCCGTTACCTCCTTTCTGGGATGGACTAGATTTTTGCTTGGCTGGAAAGAATGGGCAAGCATGCCTGACTGAAGTGGCTGCTTAACCACACAGTGCAACCCTACTGCCTTAGTGAACAAGGAAGTATTTTTTTAGGCAAACCACATTAGGGGTAGAGAGAGGGAAGAACCAGAACACCTGAAGAATCACAAGGTCCCAAGTGCAGATGTTTCCTGAATTGTGGACCAGGTACTTTCGTAAGAGCACTTTCATGCTACAATTTCCACTCGATTTCCACTTATTTTTTGAATCAGAGAAAAAACAAAACAAAAAATCTATCATTTTTTCCTTCAGGTGGTTGTCGTAATCCCAATAGAGAGAGGCAGCCAAAATGCACTTAAAAAAAAACCTTATTCAAACAATTGGCATCCTTAGGAAGCCAGGGTACTTTTAGAGAAAAGGGAAAAAATACGAGACACCACATTTAGGAGGGCTACAGGCCATTCTACTTCAAGTGGATTTGGCTGCTAAATTTGTCTTTGGATACTATCTCTTTAACTTTTATCTCCAATTAAAACAAGATACAAACTTTTCCATATATTGTTTCACTTTAAATATTTCCTCATATATTTCCTGTTAGATTTGAGGGGTGTGTGGAAAAGGTAAGTGTGGGGAGACAAAAGGAACCAGGTGTAATGTTAGGATCTGATCATCCTGGGATGCCAGGTCTAGTTTTCCACAGTACAAATGTCTCTTCATAGGTAGAATTCAGCATGGCCTACCATCTGCTCATTGGGGAAGAAAATTTCATAATGAAGCTGCTTTTCCGAAGAGATGAGGCTTGAAGTTGCAAAGGCTTGGAGCAAAGGCTCTCAGGTCCAGAAAAAGAAATGTAGGGAAAGCTTTCTTGTGAAAAAGAACTTAAGAGCTTTCCCAACATGTCCCTTTTCTTTTTCTAGTTGAAAAAGGAATTATCAAGTAAGATGTAGGTTCTGCTCAAACTATTCAAAAGAGACTGAAGTTTCTTTTAATTGCCAATCATTAATATCCCTGATTCCAAATCTTGCCATTTCCGAGTCTGAAGACTGTACAGACTTTTAAGATTTTGTATTGTGGCCAGCCCAGATAAAGATCCCACCAAAAGCTCAGGTATGTAAAAAGTGTTCATTTACCCCCCTAGGGCAGTTCTATAAAGTCAGGGAGTTGGACAGATGGTCTATAATGTCCCAGCTCAGGATCTATGATCCTAAGGAGATGCAGTACAAAAACATAGTGGCATATAAAAACAAAATTCAAATAAATAGCAGTGTGCCTATTCAGAAATGGCAACTGTAGTACACATCATGGGGTCTTTTCACTACTAGTGTCCATTCTCACTACTAAAAATGAGCAGCTTCTCAAATTACCTCTTCATAGTATGGATCCCTTAGGCTTATAATATCCTAGTTCAAGTTTGTCCCCAGGGCTAGGCTAGGGAATCTTAGTCTCCTGTATATGGTGCCCAGGGAAGGGGAGGGGGGAGTGTAGAAAAAATCTTCAAGATAACTGAGTTCAGTATTTGGTTACAGTGATGCCAGCTCCAGTGCTACCCTATTACTGCTCATGTCTACACATTTTCACTTATGGCAAAATGTCTAATTTTTTGTAGGGGAGAACTCGGTACCTAACAATGTAAAATACTATTTAGCTCCCATATCTCTCTTTCCTTAACAGTAAAGGCAGCCTGGACTTAAAAAGCCATCTCTTTTTCCCAGTCACTTCACCCAGTCTCACACTCCTATGCCTTGCCTATAGACTTACCTCAGGAAAATGCAAAAAAAGGGGAAGGACCCCCCCCAAAAAAACCCTAACTTGAAAACCCCATGATGCTAGATATTACCTTAGCAACTTCACTGGTTTTGTCTTTATTGTCCCTAACCAAAGTAGTAAAATCCCTACAAGGCATGGATTACAGCAGTCCTGTCAAAAATGTGTAAAAAAACATAACCAAGGAATTGCCCAGTGCTAGGCAATAAGTAGCCCATAAAAACATTGTTTTCTTACCGTAAAAAAATTCAGTCTTTACTATCATTAGGAATGGTGATTATTGTAGCAAGCCCCTAACTCTCAAATCATGCTTAATTGCATGATTCCATTTTGTACCCTCCCAACAAATGATGTCTTTAGAAGGGGAAGGAGATAAGAGAAGGGGGGAGGTGATAGAAGGGAGGGTAGATTAGAGGAAGGGGTATTCAGAATGCACACCATGTTGGGGCTGGGGGAAGAGGCGAGATGGGGAGAAAATTAGCACCTCAAAATCTTGTGGAAGTGAATGTTGAAACCTAAAAATAAATTAATAACAAATGGTGCCTTTGATCATTTTAAAAGATTTTACACCATTACAATCACATGTAATTGTTTTACTACCAAAATATCCTAATACCTTTTTACATAAAGAAGATTATATCTGTTATCAAAACTCTAATCTCTTTGGATAGTGCATCTTCGCCTCTCTTTAAACAACTTTGATAATAACTTAATACAAAGTAGTAGTATAAATTGTTTTTGATCACAGAATTTGAGCTTACAAATGTTATCTTACACCACCACTGTAAGGTAGCTGTATATAGCTTCAGTTATATCTCTATAACACACAGTTATAGGTATTGATAAATATAGATACACATATATCATGGAAAATTTATTTCAATGAGACACTGAATGAAAACAGATTTTTGTTTGTTGTGTTATCAACTGAGGAATGGTGGTGAGGGGCCCAACTATAGAGTCAAGAAGACTCACCTGAATGACCACTAAACTTACATTTACTTTCATCCAATAAGCCTACTTAAAAAAATCACCGGTTGCATAAATATCTGTGGGAGGCAGCAACATCTGGAAAAAGCAGCATTCTATTACACCTGATTAGGAGAAAAATATAACTTTGTGTTTTAATCCTGATCAAACCAAGGGAACTGGACAATGGAAATAATATGTATGAATTTGAACTAGATGCATCATTAGCAGACTAGCTTCATGTTACACTTTTCCCCCTCCTCCCAATATTAAATAGCTTAGGGCACTGTCAAATAAGCTCTGAATTCACACAATAAAACTATAACCTAGCTTTAGGAATTAGCAACTTCAGTGCCTAAATTTCTAGCTATGAGTATTAATATGATAGCTTGGGAAATAAAGCTTAGAAAACCAATAAGTGAGGTCATTTATTTCATCTGAAAAAGTGGTCAAAAAGTGTTTCATTAACCTGAAACTCAAACCATTTCCTATTTTTTTCATTCCTAAAGAGTAGAAGTGGGAGGAACCACAGGTGTGGCTAATGCATATACTGGGCCTTTTTGATATGTTTCAGTTAGTAAAAAAAAAATTATCATACTTGATTTTAAAGTGAAGGCATGAGGGAAAGAATGCAGTGGGAAATATAAATAATTGTAGAAATGGTAGCTATCTACAGAAATGTAATTAAAAATAAATTCCTAATATGCCCTGGGGAATTTTGATTTTGTGCATCACTTCATTTCCCCCTTAATGCACTTCATGAAATATTGAAAAATAAAACTGTATGTCCAGTTACAAATGGGAAGTATTTTTTCCTTCAACCTTTATTTGGTCCAATCACAAGAAAAATGAATTTCAAGCTGCCACCTTCATCTAGTCAAACCCCCAAATAGGTTTAAGTAGTTTGCCCAAGGTCACACAGATAGTTATATGGTGGCAAAGTTAAGATTCAGATACCTGACTCTATATCCAGCCATCTTTCTCCTACACCATAGCGTATTCAACAAGTACCTGAGTTTTGATAGTCTTAAGAACCACTGTCAAGCTAAATTATTTTCTGAAACCTTACAGCACTTTCATCAAATATTGGTCTTGCATCAGAGATAATTGTTCAATGAATCAACATCTTTTTCTGATGTCCATTCAGTCAAGTAGTTCTCTTCTATTAGGATTTTGTCTGTGTACCTAAATATGTGTCTCCTCTTCTCATAATGCCAGCCAGACCATCTGACCAGACCATTCCAGGGGTTGCTTGTGCATCCAGGGTACACTTAGTAGTGGGCCAAGACAGTGTGATTGTTTAGGAAAGCAATTCCAAATGAAACGTACATCTTTTCTTTCCCACTGTTGGTTTGATTCTAGCTGGGCCTCTTCTCTCTTTCATGCTACACAGATCATTGACAATATGCTGTAGATGGGTAAGGGAGACAAAGCATAGGATAGTGGAAAGAGTCAGGGAATAGTATCTGTTACTGTTAGCTACCACTCATTAGCTGTGTTACCTTGGGCAAGTCACTTAACCTCTGGGCCTTCCTTTCCTCCTCTTTACAATGAGGGAGTGAGTCTATACAATTTCTAAGTTAGCCTACATGACATGTAAAATCCTTTGTACTCCAGATTGTGATTTTACGATCATTTGATTTGACTTTAAATATTTTTGTTAATCTGAATTGTTTCCTAAGAGGAAAAGTTCACTTATATCACTTGATGCCAGAATGGCAAGTGTTTACCACAGGATTTTATTTCAATAAATTCCTCAGTGTGAGATGCTTCCTGTTGCTACCACCCCAGGAAAAGGCCACAAATGATGAATTGTATTCCAGTCGTGACAAATTTTTGAGTATCAGTAAATATGAACAGAAAATAAAGCAACAGCTTCTGGTTAATAGTTTTAATTGTACATGATCTTAGGCATACAATTTTCACTATTTAACATTTTGTATAAAATCAGTTATAATACACAAGTTTTTCAAATGAGACAATACTTATTAAACTAGCTAGTTTACAAGACATTATGATGAAGCTTTACCTGAAAAATACCTTAAGTAAAATAAACATTCGCTCTACCAGGTCCCTCTGATTTAAAAAATATGAATAGAAATATACATTTTAATTTAAAAAATCAAGACAATGATTAAATAAGTACTGATTAATCAGTTACACTTGAAAACATTTTATAACCTATACATGAGTGCACATTAGATAAAAGTCTGCAAATTATTAATACAAAATTGCAGTTCTCAAATCAGATGAACTGAGCTGCTGTCAATTTTTTTTCTCTCTCTATGAACTGGAGGTAATTTTTGACACACAATTAAGTGTCCAGTCTTTAAAAACACATCTGCAGCATTTCCATTTAGCAACATGGAGAATACAAAGATCTGGAGAGAGGAGGTGGGGAAGTTAATCCCACTCTGCCATTATTTGGTGAGAACGAATTATGAAAGAGTAAAGGAAAAAAAAAAACCACTGTCTTCAAGATGGGGCCAAGCAACAATTATTTTAAAAGCTTTTGATAAAATTCCACAAAGGGGAATGTGAGATGATATGAGAGAGGATGTATGAAAATAGAAAATTGAAGCTATTTTTCACAAAATTCTTTGAGTAAATTGCTTGTTGCCCAGAGAGAAAATGTAAATCAAATGAAAGGCATCACCTTTGGGTCTTTCTTACAGGAGAATGTCTCCCAAGAAAGCAACATCTCCACAGTATGTATCACAGTGGATCTTACTTCAGTCTCAAACATGTTGGCCCCAATCATTCTGATGGGGAAATCAGCTCCTAACTAAAACTTGGAGGAAAGAATCGAGGTAGAAATTTTGGAAAAATTTTCCCATGAAAATCCCCATGGTAAGGGGACTGAGGATTAGTACTAAATTTTTGGACTAAACAATTGTGAAGTTTAGGAGAGCAACCACACTGGTGGACAAGTAAGGCTACTTGTTGTACTGAGGCAATGCTTGGTGAAACAATTATTCACAGCTAGGTAAAAAAATACTTTCTAAAATTTTAAACCTGGCAGTTAAGACAGATCTATCTCTAATCTTCCTTTCTGCTAAGGGTTTTATAAGGGTTTTTTGTTTTTCATTTTGCTTCCAATAAATAAATTTTAACACTTCACAGACTCGGTGTTTTGTTCTGAGAAAAGGAAAAGGTAACAAAACAGTTACTTCATGATCAAAATAATTCAGATACAATTGTTTCTGTTTTATTCTCTTTTAAATGTCACTATTTCAGTCCCAAAGAGATGGAAGAGCTATTTAACTTGTTTAACCATGAATATGCAGAATGGTCATGAGAAATCAACAATGCTGTTGAGTACAGTTTTTTTAGGGGATCCTATCTGAATTTCGTCATGGTAGAGAGCAACAGATGGGGAATTTCCTTGACCAATGCAAATGGGCACTTTTTTTTCAACTTGGGTTGTCTTTGAGATGCCAAGGGCAGTGTGAAGTTAAGAAACTTCCCCAGGGCAACTGCTTGTTAAAAGTTGGACTTGAATCCAGACCTTATTAATTCTGAGGCTAGTTTTCTATCCACCTCTTCTGGGTATTTGGTTTCCTTTAAACAGGAAATCTCCTTATCTGACAAACTATTCTTTATGTTTAAGTAGTGCTTCTACAAAATGGGCTTAGAGTGAGAAACCTTAGAAGAACAATTTGATTATATTTTTAGAGATCAAAAAGGAAAAAGAAAACTGACTTCTAATGGGAATCTTTCCAGCAGCCATTCCCAGATGCTTCTTAATCCCTGAATATGTCCCTCTCCCTCCACCCCCACCCACATGCTCTGTCTGCTGTTTTCTTTGGCACATACCAGCTCAAGTCACTGAGGGCGGCCAACAAAGAAATGCTTTTTAACCAAACTCAGACGTCCTATGACTAATTCTGGTATGAACAGAGCAGATGAACATTAAACTATGAAGGAGAAAGATCCTTGCTGACATTTAAAATGGTTAGAAATTCAAGAAAGGCTGAGTTGAGGACTCACCACGTGATGGCAATTTGGAGGCTAAAATGTTTATGGTGGAAACACTTCAGCCAAGATTCTTTATTACTAGCCCCAAAACAAAATTGTCTTATTGAGATGGAAAGCAGAAGTTTTCCCATTTTGTTTAAAAGACCAATAAGTTTAATAAAGAAACTATAACTGGTTTAGATTTCAGCTTGATTATATATATATGGTTATTAATACAGGAAAATCTTTAAAGAAATGAGAGTCAGAATGAGAAAACAGACCTCAGAATTAGAGGCTTAATGTTATATTCACTTTTTATAACTGTGGGCTTCTCTTTCCTTTTTCTTCCACCCCTACCATAGTATAGCAAAATATTCTTTTCCCCATATGGCCTAGAGAGGAGCCAGAAGCTACATGGGGAAATGACTCCGCCTGTTGGCCAATTAATTTAATAGTTGATGTCCTAGCAGCCATTGTTTCCAGTCCTACCCTCAAATCATCTGTCTCAAGGGTGGAGAGGATTATTTTGTGCTAAACTGCAGGAACCTAGGTCAGTTACCAATTTCAGTGAGTTATGTGAGAGAATTATCCCTTTCCCCCCAAATGGAACCACTGTTTCAAAGCCATTTTTTTTTGCACTTACAGGCTATAATTACAATCATCCTTCAGCCCTAGTAGGGCCTGTTTTTTTTTCTTTTAACAACAGCTCTTAAAAATAAATTAGGTATAAAAATAAACATGGCTGACATTTATTCTATGCATTTGTATTTATATTACAAAATTATCCATTTCTATATTTCAATGTTCCAACTTCTCAAACTGGACTGCCTGAAACTGGTCTAATGCAATAACAATCATACACTTCATTCATGTGCATGTGGAAAAGAAATACATGTGAACTCAGGATACTCAAAGAGTCTTTGCCACTGGGCCCCCCATTATTGTATGTAATAAGATACATCAAGTTTTAAATTAAATTTCTGCAACTGTCATCTAATATTCACAGAATCTACTCTGCTTCGTTGGTTTGAAGAAGGCACTATACAAAGAGTTACATTTTTGTATACCCTAAATAAAGGCAATAAGTGAGGTCTGATATTTACCAATAACTGAAATCCATAGGTGTAAACCAATACATATGGTTTGAAACTAGGGAGAAGATCAGATAAGGGAAAAAAGCAACAGCAAAATTCAATTAAAGTAGTACCATAAGAAAAATTTCAATTACTTGGTAATTTTTGTTTTGTAAAGGAAAAGAAAAATCACAGTATTTTTTTTTAAAAGAAAAGCTTTCTCTGTTTGTGTTACTGGACAACAAAACAGTGACCAGTCACAGGGCTCTATTCACTTACTAAATGGTCTTAAGGATGAGAAATGAAGTTATGCAGCATTTGTACTATTTGAAACCAGTTCTCCTTGACCTTCTAAAGTAATGATCATATTCTTTCACTAGTTTTCAAATATTTTCTGAAAGAACCACTTTGTTTGTACCAAAACACACAACAGTGTTTATATAAGGTTACCAGTGAAACGCTTTTTGGTGAAAAGCAACAGTTTGGTGGTACTTTGCTAATTAACATGAAATAAATCAAATTACAGCAAATCAAGAAAAAATACTCTTTCAATAAAGCAGTTTCCTTCTACATCTTAATAGAACATAGCAAGGACAAACAGAAAATAAATATACAGAAGCCTGCCTTGAATTCTCCATTCCTTTGGAGGCCAAGAGCTAAAAATGATTGCCATCACAATTTATACACATGCACCAAACAGACTCTTGAACCCTCTTGACAATAGAGGGCTTCATATTTACACCTGAGACTAAATTTACAATAGGTTACTTTTGTTTGCCAAACTTCAAAGATTTCTTCACACAGATTTGACTTCGTCATCAAATCATTGGCCTCAAGACTCAACTAATTAAACTCTCATATACATTTTCTTCATTGACCAAGTCTCTTAGCTGGAAGCAACTGAGAATTTTTTTTTTGGTTTTTTGTTTGTTTTTCAAACAAACTGTGCTGGGTCCTATTGTTTTCCTTTTCCTAGAGGATTCCTTCAGTTCCAGCCACATTTTTTTTTTAATAACTTAACGCAAGACTGTTCTAGTTCTTGAAGTGGAGTGGCTACTGGGGAAAAAAAAAGATGTTTAAAATGAATCTGTAAAAATGTCCTGTATTCACAATACTGGTCAAAGACAAAATGATACAACGTTCTAATAAAAAAACACTTTTGCCAATATATGCTAAAATATCACAACATTTAAAATGAACAATTATAAGGTTCCTGGGGTACATTTTTAAGACAAATATTTTAAAAGTATAGTATAATTATTAACCATAAAAGAAGAGACAAGTGATGATGCTGGGCAAAAAATGATTCAATTCTGCAAGAAAAGAACATTAAAACAACAAAATTTGTATAAGCACATTTGTCACAAAGGATTTCTTTTCTTTCCTTCCTTCTTGAGAACTAGTGTAAAGGAAAGGAGAAAGACTGACGTTTTTGTTGTTCAGTCCTGTCTGACTCTTCATGACCACATTTGGGATCTTCTTGGCCAAGACACGATGTGGTTTGCCATTTTACAGATGAGGAAGCTGAGGCACATAGGTTTAGGTGACTCACCCAGGGTCACACAGCTAGTAAGTGTCTGACACTAGATTTGAATTCACATCTTCCTGACTCCAGGCTCAGCACACTATTCACTGAGCCATCTAGCTCCCCCAGAAGGACAGATAAAGGAATATTAACTACTTAAAAGACAGAATGAGGTAACAGAAAAGGCTCTGGCAGCTCCAGCAGTTTCCAGTTTAACTAAGAGCAGAATGATACAAAGGACATCTACCTGCCTTGTGGAACAGCATTTGAATACATTAACATCCTTGGTGAAATCCATTCTAATTATGGAAGGGCAGAGAGGTATGATCTGAAACTCCATAAAAAAAGAAAAAGAACTACACCTCAACTATTTAGGAATAACTCATTTCCTAGATTGTTCTAATCCCTCCCACCCCACTTCCTTAAGTGCAATACAACAAAAGAGCTAAAAGCAAAAAGTCATAAAAAGCACATGCTTTATTTAACTGAAGCAATTTAAAGTTCAAGTCCTGTCATGGAAAGAACAGATTCAGGATGACTGCCATCTATATATACTCATTTCCACTAGAACAGTTTTTATTTAATTCTCTTAATTGTCACAGTACACACCATGTTGGGTCTAAGTTGTCAGATTTGTTACTGGAGTTAACTTTAAAGTGATCTACTGACTTTGCCAAGCAATCAGATCCACTACTCATTACCTCCTGCCACCGGAAAAAAACAATAGTCAACAAGCTAATGATATTGGGACTGTTACAACCAGATGGAAAAGACAGAAATTCTAACGTTTCAGTAGTCACAGTACTAGAGATGGTTATCTGAGTTCCTGCCATCACAAGAGGCAAAGAAACAATGAATGAAATGTCACAAATTAAGAAGTCTTTTGGTAAAGAAACTAAAAAGCATCCAAAAGAACAATTAACAAAGAAATATTTAAATTTTATAAGCAACAGGACCTTAGACAGTTATCTTTGTTTACTACAACAAGTGTGTAAAACTGCATTTATTCAATGGCAACATGGATTAATCAGAATAAGAGGAGCTGGTTTTGGAATCAGGAAGATCTGGATTTTTGTTCTGCCTTTGACACATCCTGCTTGTGTGCGACTCCATGAAAGTCAATTAAGCCTCTCAGTATTCTAGGATCTCTAAGACAAGAAATTGAAAAGAAGGTGCTGCTCTGCACTGGCAGAGGGAGTTTTCTCATCTAAGAGCTCCCTAAATTAATGAAATCACAGGTACTGTCTCTATCTCGATCTCTATCCCTAGTCCTTCACTGTGAATGAATGGCTAGCAAGCAAAAACCCAGGCATAAATAAATACTATGATGATCCGGAAAGGCAGGTGTTAAAGAGAACAAGTCAACTAAAAGTAATAGAAATTACAATAAAAATAATTTTGTAGTGGGAATGAATGAATTTGTACATAGGATGGCTTCCTAGGAAAAAAATCAGTGATGTCTGAGTATGTAACCTTATAAAAAGAATGGGATTATTTAAATAGAAGATCTACTTAAGAGAACCAAATGAAAACAAGATGATGAAATCAGACTCCTGAAAATTTCTTAGCACTGCAAGATGTGATCTACGCTAAAATAAGGGTTTCAGAAAAATCAATGTGAAAATTCTTTCCATCTCCTAATGAAAATTAAATATAGACAAATCCTATATAACTAGCTAGTAAATGAATTTAGTTACTCCCCAAAGAGAAATGTTTAAACATTCCTTCAGCTACATCAAGGGATCAATATTTTATCACCTTCACTCTGTAGACCTAGGGAACAGAGAAGCATGTAACTCAGCTCCCCAACCTAACACTTCAAAGTCAAAGGATTCTGTTGGTCAATGAGCTGGCTTGCCACTAATCAAGGAAGATTTAAATGCCATTTCTCTCCATTTAAATTGCTGTAGTTTTATCAGAAGTTTGTGGCAAAGGATAATATAGCTGTAGGTATAGGGATGTGTATATATGCGCACACACACACATTACTATTGTGCACGCTTGCCATGTTAAACATGGTGGAATTTCCTTTAGGATGATGCGTAAGTAGAGAGGGAGTGGGAGTATGGCTAACACTTGTGCTTTATTTCTTCTCCCAATCATATTTGATGATTCTTTATCAGTTTGGCAAAGAAGCTCTCCAAAGTTGTAGAATTTTGCAACCTGAATGAAAACCAATAGGAAGTCATTTTATGAATTTCAATGAGAGTGCTTATAAAACATCTCAGCAGGAAATCACTTCATAAATAGAAGCAAATAAGAGAAGTAAATGATAGAATTGCTATATAAATAGAGCACCCATAGATGTAAACACATGAACAGCATACCAAGAGAAAGCCTCACAGACAAAACTACCAATACAATCAATCTCTGGGCCCCGAAGAAGCTACCTAAAACTCCAGGAGAAGAACAGGGTATGATTTTTTGTAATAAGTTGGATATTTAAAACAGACTCCAATGCTTGAAAATCCTTACTTTAGCTATTCTGAACTCTAGTAAAATGAATCAGATTATGCACATATTTCCCCTCAAATTCACCAAGAACTAGGTCACAAGTTCTACCTTTCAACAAAAGGTAGTGACTGCACGTCACATAAGTTCTTTCTCCAGAATGCCGGTATAGTTTTCTTAATTTCAAGAAATTAGGCCTATGAGTAAAAACAAGTGATACAAACATATGCAAATTAGAGGCAAAGAATTTGTTGATTATATGTTTTGTATAAGGAGTTTTCCCTTTAAAATAGCATAATTCCTGCTTTATAGTCTATTTCACCACTACCCCAAATCTCCTCTTTTCAATGCGGGTTTGGATGACTTAAAGTCTTTCTCACAGCTATGCAAACTACCTGCACACATGCTTTGTAACACTGAAACATGCTGGAAATCCATTCTTCCAAAGTGGTTATTTCAAGCACTCTCAAAATTACGCAAGCTGAATCCTCAAAATTTGCTCAGGAACCTCCACCACCAGAAGGGACAAATTTGGACCACTACAGACTTCTCCAGAAGGCTATGGATGTGAAAGGAACAGGAAAGCCCTCAGTGGATGTGATAAGTATCCACTAGATGGACAACCATGAAATGCATTGTAGCAGGACTCTAGTCTTGAGCCAGAGTCTTGGGTTCCATTTCACGATAAGACTAGAAGTCATTTTCCAGAAAAAAGCAAAAGTACGCTTAGATGTGTACAAAACCCTGGCTCATATTGAATGCCCAGGTGTTTATGCTGAAAAGAAAACAAACAAACAAACAAACCCATTTACAGTAATCAATGGCCCATATGACAAACTTAGATACCAGTATACTCTTTATCTGGACAATGAGTTTTTAATTCCTCTAAAGGTAATGGGAAAGCATATCCAACACTTTGGAATGAAAACTTTAAAATATCATTATCATAAGCTAAAAACATAGTTTTCAATTCTCCATGGTAATTTTCCACCTTTTAATGGTGGTACAAATGTACTGTGAAAAGGGAGATGAGAAGTAACTGGATAATCAATTTCCAAATAATTCAGAATAATCTCTGAGCTCAAACTCAATCTATACTAAAGGATACTTCTAGTAACCCACTTTTTGGTGCTACCAAATTTGTAATCTAACTCAATTCTGTGATAAAAGGTCTCTATATATCTACAGTGCTAAAGAAATCAGGAAAGGTAAATTTAAAGAAAAATAAAAGGAAAACTAAGTTTAGGGGAGAATACAGGTTTGTAGTTTGAGTCCCTGGTGGGGGAGGGAGGGGAAAGTGCACATCTACTTACAGATTTATGGGTATTCTGTAGTTATATACTCCTAAAACTATAGCTCACAAGCCCCAACCAGTGGGGCTACCCTTTCTAGTCAGGAATCGCAATTAGAAAGGAAAAAAAAAAAGGCACTGACTAAGACAGTGTAGTAAGAACAGTAGCTTCCAAACATTCACTGCCATAAACTAGAGTGCACCCTCACAAATACACGCCGTGATCCTGGGGAAGAGTGGGCCGTAAGAGCAAACAAGAAGTGAGACACACATAGAGACAGGGTAACTCAGTCCTCTGGTATTACAGGGCTGTGATATCCTTTCTTTTCTCATGGTATTTTTATGGTATTCTCTTCTAGACCCAATATCTTTGTTGGGCAAGTTGATCAGCCAATCTTTCTGTGTCTGACACTTTCTGCAGCTCAACTTTGGACTGTCAGGGCTAGATCTCTCGAACCCAGCCATCTCTTCTCAGCTGTCAGAGGTCATGCTTCTTGATGTGATTCTTGCTCTCACCCTCTCTTTGCTGGATTGCTGTCTCTTACTGAATAAGTAGTTCTGCTGCAAAATAAATGGCCACTGGAGAAAGAATTCCCATCCATAATCCTATTCTGCTGGCCTCTGTTAGAAGCACAAGGATTACATGAAGCTACTCCCAGTCTCACTACTTCCAGGGCAGGCTGTTTTGTTTTGTTTTTTTTTGTTGTTGTTTTTTAATATGAGGCAATTGGGGTTAAGTGACTTGCCCAGAGTCACACAGCTAGTGAGTGTTATTTGTCTGAGGCCGAATTTGAACTCAGGTCCTCCTTACTCCAGGGCTGGCACTCTATCCCCTGGGCTACCTACCTGCCCCAAAATTAGCACTTTTTTTTTTGTAAAGGCAATTGGGGTTAAGTGACTTGCCCAGGGTCACAGAGCTAGTAAGCAGGGTAGGCTGACTGACTGTTTTAGATGCTATATCAACAGCATGGCCAAAATTCAGCCAGCTGATGACTAGCAGCCCTTTCAATTCCTGCAGAGAAGTTTCTTCAGATTCTGTAAAGGGCACAGACATCTCTTTATACTTTAACACACTGATACCTTGTTATCTGTTACATTAATAATGATAATTTCTGGCTCTCTATCCACTATGCCCCGCTAGTTACACTGTTATCTGTTCCTTACTTTACATGGGGGGGGGGGCAATGTGTGCAAAACTACTACCGACATTGATAATGGAAAAAATGCATTCAAGCCTGCTGAAATGGCTAAGCCAATTCTGTATGTCCCTTTTAAAGCTGTTAGATGCTCTGTATTTTATCTATCCATGCAGGTCTTTTCTTCCTTTTACTCTCACCCAAACAGACTTAAGATGATGTTCACACAATTCTTTCTCTTGTACTCTATGTACCCACAATGTGATAATTTAAGCAGTTTACTCCCAACATAATGCATCTCATAAGAGCAGAGAGTAGGAATATGAAATGAGTTTTTAAAGTATCATCTAATGATCTGCAGTTTTTTAGACTGGAAATGTTGCAAAGGTGAGAGGTGAGGACTTTTTTTTTAAATTTAATTTCCACATCTTTGAAACTCTAAACTGACAAGGAAAAATAAGCCCTTCTGTGGCATATTAAAAAAAGTTCAGTGAAAAGTATGCAAACAAAGCAATCATGTTTTGCTACTTTTATATCTTTCCTTTTTAACTAGAGGGTCTACCACCTTCTATTACAGAGTTTTATTGGCATACTCATTTTGCAAATGCACAGTAAAATAAGCCAACCATCAAAGAACATTCTTTACCCCTTGTCCTCTGGACCTTCTGCAATCTTTGACACCTGCCCCCCAACACATTTGATAACATTAATTTCCAGCTATACTACTGTGCTAGCTGGTGCAGTGGATAGAGAGCCAGGCTTGGAGTCAGGAAGACTCATCTTCCTGAGTTCACATCTGGCCTCAGACATTTTTAGCTATGTGACCCTGGATATTAACCCTGTTTGCCTCAGTTTACTCATCTGCGAAATGAGCTGGAGAAGGAAATGGCAAACCACTCCAGTATCTTTGCTAAGAAAATCCCAAAAGGGGTTATGAAGAGAAGAATACAACTGAAACAACCAAATACCAGCTACTGGATTTTTCAAACATGTGGATTTATCTCGGAGCAGGGCTTTGGGAAAGAAAGCTCCCTCTACTAAGGACAATCACCAAATCACATGTAAATTATAACCTTAGCAGAATTACCTGGGAGTACTAAGAGGCTAAATACCCAGTGCAGCATGGCTAGTATATTGTAGAGGCAGGAGTTGAACCCAGATTATCTCAACCCCAAGGCCGACTCTTTCCCCCTCAGCAATGCTCCTTCTTGCTTCCTATATTACTGCCCTTAACCGTGTAAGGAAAAATTATTTTGGTTAGCATTATTTAGAAATTTATGCTTTGTAAGACTTGGTTATAACGTCGCACCTTTGTGAGGTTTGTGACATAGGTTTGCTATTTCATAAATGTGTATCTGTCGGGTGTGACTGTATCTTGGCACCTACCATTTGGCAAAGAATTAGAATCAGAATCAGATCTTGCTACAGGGATGTCCTTAAAATTTTTTACTTTACTTTAGTTTAACAAATTTGCTCCTCACTCATATGGCTATTTAGCGCACATTCAAGTTGAGAAGGAGAATGCTATATCGAATGAAATAACTGGGACATAATAAAAGCACATTTGAAATGGGAGATGGAGCACTAGACTTGGAGTTAGTGGACCTGAGTTCAAGCCCCATTCTTCTTGTGTGATTCCAGGCAAATCATTTAACCTCCATAAGCTCTACTTTCATCTATAAAATATGGAAAGGTTGGAATAGTATCTCTAAGGTCCCTCCCAATTCTAATTTATATGACTATTAAAAAAATCACATGCACAGCTCAATGAGTGATTTAAAAAAAAATACCTAAGAGGACCACTATATAGAGCTTTATAAAGACCCATTTATCTCATATGAGTTTTACAATCACCCTGTAATAAAGAAATAATGCAAGTCTCATTATCATCATTTTACAAATAAGAAAACTGAAGCACAACCATATTGAGTGACTGACCCACGGTGACATAGTTATTAAGTAGCAGAAACAAGATTTGAAGCTAGATTATTCCCTTCAGAATGAATTCTATTTCTACTCCCACTGCCTCTGTTTTCTATTCCCTCTTCTACCCCAAAGGTACTTTCAATAACAATGTTGAAGCCTAATTGGGATAGATGATATGGCTATGTTACTTAATTTTGTTACAAAGTTCACTTTTCATTATGGGAGGCTGAGAAAAATTGCTAAGTCCAAACTACTTGGCATAGTTTCTGAGTGAGAAAAAGAGAGGAACAGTCACAAAAGAAAATGCAGTGGAAGGCATATTTCATCATAATTGTCCACATCAGCTATCCTAATAATTTGGACAATTTCACTAACGGTCATATGTGGAAGGAGTTCTTCCAAACTCTAAGAAGGAGCTCTGAGATCATCTGATAGGAACATATGAGAGCACAGCAATTCCTAACTTCATAACATGTCAAAAACAAGAGCTCAAAGCTTCTAGTGTCCAGAATCATTTATGGCTAAACCAAAGCATGATACAACATTAAAAGTTCCAGAAATTCACAGTGCATTAAAAGGGGCAGATTTTAGTATTGTTTTTGATCCCTGGGAATCTGTTTTCTCCAATGGTAAACTCCAGTTCCTGTGGTGAACAGGGGTGGTCCAAAAAGCTGTGCTAAAAAAGCAAAGCATGAATCTTTTTAGAAAGGTAAGATTCTTTCCTCACCTTTTAAAACTGCTTTTTCTTGTAGCAGATCTGGTAGTTCTTTGAAAAATGCCTGAACTGTCAGAAATGTTAGGTTCAGATGTTTTACTGCTCTGAACACTGGACTGAAGAATTACTCTGAAAAGTTGGAAAAAATAAAATCATAAGAACTGTAACTGTTTTCAAATTGTTGACAGAAGCCATTTTTTCTAATATAAAACATATTTTCATTATGGATTGATGTTTCCAGAAACAAATTTGTTCACAGATGCTGAAGCATGTTTTGTAGCATATGTCCTCTGTAATGAAAGGCATTCTTGATGTGTTATGTGTTGTCTATTAATCCTCCTTCTCAGGAGAAATATCAGGATTATTAATTCCCCTTCCGCGCCCCATCTAGTGTGCTTTGGGGAATCTAGATGAGCCTTTGACTTTTAAATCAACCACAAACAAAAGAGAAAAACATCACCCCTATGTGTCTAAAGTTAAAATGTAACTTCTAATGCCTAATGGTTTTCAGCTATGAAAAATTAGAAGTCACTTCAATTCTCAAAGCCACCAAGTCCATAACTGATACAATTACAAACAGTAAGAAAGAACTAAAAACACTTAGCTCTCTGGCTATGAACATTAAATAAGATGCCTTTTTATGACTTCATCATCTATTCAGCAAATATGAGTCTCATCTGGGTTATATCAATTATACATTAGTATGGCAACAAGTTCCTACTGAAATAAAAGTTTAATGCTTGAATTATTCCAAAGTATGGAAAAAGTAGGACAGTGATAGTGACTGGCTGGATCTCTTATTTCATATGCATAGGGAATTTCCAGGTCAGGAAAATCCTTTTCCAAAGCAGGTGCCGCCTTCTCTGCAACTGAAAAGTCTTAGATTAAGTGACTTGCCCAAGGTTATACAACCAGTATATGTTAGAACCAGAACTTGAACCCACGTCTTGACGGCTCTGAGATCAGCTTTCTATTCACTAAATCACTCTGTCTCTCAACATTCGGTTATTGTATTAAGGGAGCAAAAACAAAGTTATACATTTTGGGTCACTTTAAAGAACTTGGTTTCTCAAAAAACAAACAAAAGCAAACAAAAACCAAATATCTCTTACACTTAACATAATTGTGCCCATGGATTAGAAATAAGAAACCCAGACAAAATTCACGTTTCATAAAGAATAAATCATATGTTTCACAATATTGTTACAAGGCAACAGCAGAGAACAGAATGGTGGCTCAAAGAAGAAGGGAAGTGATTTTGAGTCCCTCCTCCTTTGCCCCTCATGGTATTGATCTCCACCAATAAGTTGAGAGTCCATTCCAATGGCTTTGGAACTTGGATTACATTTTAAAAATCTAAACTTCCAAGTCCATTCAAGCTGCTCAGCTCAAATACTGATGTTTAACAACAACAAAACTTGGATTAACTGGAGGGGGAAATTTTTATTTTTTTCCACTTTTCACTTGTGCATTCTTATGATACAGTATCTTAATAATGATAATTTACAAGATTATACATATATTTTTGACTGGACATGTGATTTCATTGGTATAGGGAACTCTAGGCAAGGAAACTCCTACCAATTCAGATCAGCATCTTATGGGCAGCTGTCTTAGAGAAGTTGGCCGTGGAGTTTGGAATTTAAATGACTTGCCCAAGACCAGAAATAGGACTTCAACTTGGGGCCAGCACTCTGTGGAGTATGCCATGCTGCCATTCTGGATAATGATGCTTTTAAAAATTATTTTCTTTGTTGAGCAATGACTAGTGGTCAGAACACATTCCTCAATCCTAAGAATATATTCTACCATTTCCTCCTCCAATTATTTCTGCATGAATAACAACAAGAATAGTAATAATAATAATTCCTTATAATTTAATGATCCTAAGGTACAGCAGTTCCAACTTAAGTCCCGCATCTGACAGTTTTCGCTAGGTATACATTTTTGGGGGCTGTGGCTACTACTTAACCAAAGGGAGTTAGTCACTTTATGACCCAGTAAAGATGAAGAACTCCTATAACAAGGTTAGCACTTCTTTAACCACAGTGCAAAGCAGCCCAGCAGGGTAATAAGCCAAAAGACTAATTTCCACCACTACTGCTGACAGCAAGTATGCTTTGCTTATCACAGAATCACTAGAAATCTGGAAGCGCTTCTCAGGGATTCATTATCTAATCCATTCCATGACTGTGCCAAGACCATAACAGAAAAATCAAGCCTTTTTCTCGACAGCTTTCCAGGCCAGACTGACATATTTGATGGTGGGGAAAAACGGCTTTGTTTTCAAAGAAGACAAAGCATGAAATCATCCTTCAAATATTCAACAGCTTGTTAAAATCTCTCTCCCTCACTTCAGAGGGAGATGAATTGTGAACTAATTAGCCAATAAGCACCTTTCAATTGATTTGGAATTTGTCACAGTCAAGTCACCTGTGCTGAATGTTCCAGGGAAAAAAAATCTCCAGGGCACAGAACTATAATTAGACAGTTAAACAGGGCATCACTGGTCTCAGCTGAGATTATGCATTCATTCATTCACCTGCCTATGTAAAATAAGAAAATGTTTAGTAATACACGTATGTGGAAAGTACATGAATAATAGTTTTCATTTGGGGAATTCAGCCAACCAATGAATCAATCTATAAAACATTTAGTAAGCACCTATTATGTGCCAGGCACTGTGCTCAACCCTGGGAAATTTACTACATTATATGACTTTTCAACCTCACAGAATTTGCTGTTAAACCATTTATTAAACACATAGCTTGAGCCATAGTCTTCGGAATTTACTATAGATCAATGAAAGTGAGAGGAAATAGGATACCCCAAAATTAGGTCTTCTTAGGGTCATGGTCACTCATCCTTTTCCTTAGCTTCCACATCTATTGATTATATCTCTACCATCTCTCCCATACTCATTCTCCTCTTCTCTACTGGCAATGCTATAACTTTGATATAAATCTCTTAATTCATCTATCTGGTCCCATTTTCTTCCCCTTCTGATCCATTACCACTATTGCCAGACTAATCTTCCTTGTGCATAGATCTTGTTATATCACAGCTCTGTTGAACACTTTCTCATGACTCCTTATTGCCTATTGAATAAAATCCAATTTCTTGCAGTCTCACTTTCAATGCCCTTCATTATCTGATGGGCATAACCTTGCTTTTCTAACCTCATACTGCTCCCTTCATGTGATCTAGCCCAGCTGATCACATGCACGTCTCTCCATACTCCTGCATTTTTGTTTTTTTGCCTCCAAACCTTTGCTCATACTCTTCCCTATTATGCCTGGGTTAGAAACTTTTACCCCCATCTATCCTGGCCTATTGGAAGCCTATTTTATAGTCAAAGTAAAGTGCTACTTCCAAGAAGCCTCTTCTGATCCTCTCAAGTGGTAATGACTTCTACTCCTTCAGAATATTATTTATGTCCTGATACACTTATGCTTCAGTTTGAACTACATTTATTTGTGTATGCGTTAATAATACTCCCTTATTAGACTATTAAGATTCATGAAGACAGGGCCTGTGTCTTACACCATTGTTGAATTTCCTTCTAGCACCTATCATGGTGCACTAGAACTACTTTTGAGAAGGTAGCATCATTTGATGAAATACAATGTTTCATCTTACTCTGTTGCATCCCTCAAATCAAGCCACTGACATTGCTTCATTAAATACAGTACCTTTCAGGTATACTTTCCCCCCTTCTACTGTCAAATCTTTCATCAAAGTTCTGTTTCCCGTGGTTTTTATTTACAAGCCCCTTCTCTTCTCACTGGTTCTCATGTCTTTGAGCCTCTGTCAGCTCTGAAACTTTAAAGAATTTGCTACCCTGAAAGGGAAAGTACTCAATGCCTTTCATGCCACAAAACTGAATATTTAATGTGAACATGCTCCTCCCAGGGGAGGAATCAAAGGCCTCATCCATCTGGCTATTCTTTCCACTGTTTTCACCTAGTATTCCAGTATCTGAACAACACAGAACAACATGGAAAGAGCTGGTGTATCTGCTATTCTATTGAACCAAACTGAATTAAAAGAAATTTCTGAACAACCACAAATGGTGTTCAGGAACACACTGAAGCAATCCAAGTTCCTGAAGTACCTTCCCATTGGATCAAAGAAAGCTTAAGCTATAGTCAGTATAGTTTTAGAGATATTTTCTTTTATTCAAATTCTTTAAAAATAGGGAGTCCATGCATGTCACATATATGATTTTCCTATCTAGGACATCCTAATCTCTGCAACTTGGTATAGTGGACAGAGAACTGGTCTTATAGGAGGAAGGTCTGGGATTGACTGTCACCTCTGACACCCACCTCCTGGCTCTGTGACCCTGACAGCATTGAGGAGGTTCTAGTCTGCATTGGTAAATGAGAGTTCCTTCTAGCAATAAAAGCACCATTTCAGTCTCTCATCCTAATTTTTAAACATGCCAGATCACAGATTGCTGTTTAAAAAAAAAAATACTGATCAGAAAAGAGTAGCTATGTTACTGATGGAATCAAATAACCTCATCTGCCAAGAGGATGGTGAGAAGACAGCTGTGGTAGTCAACACAGTTTATTTCAGAGCTGTAGAGCCAACAGATAACAGAATGATACCATCTAATTTTGATCCCTCATCCTGTTGTGATCCCTGAAGTAAGCAACTGTTAGAAACAAATGTGAAAAGAGATACCGCATAACAAGGAGGGGAAAAAAAAGGCAGCCCATAGGGCTTAAGGGTTTGCATTCAAGTTTACAAAACTACCATGAAAGAGACAAAGTGCTGGATCTGGAATAAGAAGAGCTTGTTCAAACCCTTCTCTGATGCTTCCTATTTGTGTGAGCCTGGACAAATCAATTTATCACTCAGATCCTCATTTTCTTCCTCTGTAAAATGAAGATAACAACATACCTATAATGCCTCCTTGCAGGCTTTTGTGAGGTTCAAATATAAGGAAAGTACTCTGCAAACCTTATGGTGCTGTATATTTTTGGTTATTATATTAATTTTATAGATGAGGAAACAGTTTCCAAGAGGTTACTCTGACTTGGCCAGAGTCCCATACACACTATGTGTCAGAGGTGGCATCTGTACTCTGCCCTCCCCACTTGGGACTCCAACCCTAATGCTAC